AAGATTCTACTGTAGAGATCCATACAACAGTCAGTATGACATAAAGGAGATAATATAGGTAGGGGTAGTTATCTTTTCTCATAATAGAAGAGCAAAGGTACATGCAATGAAATGAAAAGACAACAAACTCAGAAAAGACCAACAGATTTTTTTCTGACACTATGCATAATTAATATGGGGTCCTACAGTCACACTATATTATTGTTTCTGTCATGTTTGTCTGTCTATCTGTATGTATTTCAATCATGGTAATGCCTACAGGCCCTAATTTCAGGCAGCAACGCACTGGGCTAGCAGTTCTTCCAGCAAATTGAAGGCATGGTCCCTGTCCCAAAGAGTTTACAAGCTGATATCAATGAGGCTCACAGCTTAGCAGAATTGTTATTATTATTCCTCTTAAGTACTGGCAAACTAGTTAAATGGACTATGTGAGAACAAACACAAGTATGTAATCTGGTATAAAAATTATAAGGGATTTAAACTGCCCTGCTTCACAACATCAGCCAAACGCAGGGCTCAAGACTGTCTGTCTCCTGGGCAGGTTTTAACATAATTCTCCTGTTTTGTGGGTTCTTGTTCTAATTATCAAGGGCTTACCTCTCCTGGAGTTGCCTCCAGGCCACTATCAAAATTCAAATGTTTAGTTTCACTATAATTTGGACAGGATCAGCAATGCAAAAAGTATAATAAAAATATACAAGGCAACTTCATTGATATTGTAGGTGCTTTTTTTATAACTGCCTGAGCACTTCAAAACTAAGCAAATGAGAGCTGCATTTATTTCCAATTAAACTTCAGGGGATCTTTTCTTGACTCTGTTACACTGTTTTTAGGAGGGGGTCAAAGTACTGGGTAACATCTTGCTCTCAATGAAGTCAATGGAAGTTTAGTCCTTGACTTCAGTGGGGTCAAAATTTCATTCCCTGACTTTAATGGAGTCATACTGAGGTAAAAGCTCCGTGTGAGAGTGAGTGAGAAGTCCTTTGTCTATATCCAGTTCTTTCTTTTGGATCAGATGTACAATAACAGTTGAAATAACTGCGCTATTTACAAATAGAAGTAAAGACATGATAGAGAGAGGACCCTATTTTACAAGGGCAGAAATTAAAACAACACGAAAACAATGATTTTATGTCAATATTTAATAGACACAAAGATGCAATATTATTTGTTCAAGAAAAGCTGCAAACCTTCATCTTCATTGCTGTTTGAGGTAGGTATCAAAAGTATGTAAGTAAATCAGCAATCATCAAAGACATTTGATTTTTATGATAACCATAGTGATTTCTGTCGAGATCGTGTATCTTCATTTAAATCAGACCATTCTCATCATAACCATATGATACTGACTCCAGTAAAAGGCACATCAACTTGTTGCACATATCAGTATTGGCAATGCTGGAGTCCCAGGCTGAACCAAATGTAAACCCTTTTCCAAAGCTACTTCAAACCAGAAAATCATTAGACCAGGGCTATACCCTACCCTATTCAGATTGTGCTCTTGGCAGATAAAAGAAGTAAGATTTGTGGGAGTGTCTATGCTGATGAGAAATGTCAGCTAAACTGAATTAGGCCACTAACTCAATTTTAAAGCTTGGCTGAGCCACAGAGTAAAGCACATGCTAGCTGCCTGGCACAAGTGATTTTGAAATCAGGCTAAGTAAGAACAGAGCTGCTTGAAGCCATGTCTACACTGTCTTCAGCTGGTTTTAGAATAGGCTTTGTTAAATCGGCTTTAAAACTGGCTGCAATCTTGGATATCATATTCCCAGGAGGAGCCTAGGACTTCTTAACCATTCACTCCGTGTAGGCCATTATCTGCTTGTCAAATTGCTATAAATATATCTAATTTCCAGGAGCATTATAAAGTTAAATGGAAGTTTTGAAAACTCTTTCTGATCCGCAGATGAAAGAAGCCACATAAGCAAAGAGAAAACATCTGTCACTAGATTGGACAAACAAAAAATAATTGATTGTAGAAATTTGTTCATGTACTAGAAGACTGTCAGGGCCAGCATTTTCTATTGGTTATTTCTATGATGAGCAGACCTACAGCTTGCTCACCCTATCAACGAAATCACTCTCAAAATTCACTTTGATTCAGTGAGACCCTCAGTATGATAACTATGTATGAAAGAGTAAATAATCAGATGCTTTCCTCCCTTGATGGAATTAAGGGCATTGCCCGCTCCTCTCATGGCTGGTTCAGACATAGGCCAGGGGGACTATAACGGGATAATTTCTCTCAGGGGGGAGAAGGGAAGTGAGGCAGCGCTCTTAGAATAATACAAAAATCAGTACTTGTATAGCACCTTCCATGCAAGGATCTCAAAGCAGAGAAAGGATTGGCTTGTGGCCCTGGACTGGCACAGCAGAGGTCTTGCATAGTTCCTGGTTCTGGTACAGATCTTCTGTGAGACCTTGGGCAGGTCACTTAATATGCCCGGGCTTCAATTCCCCACCTGTAAATTAGGTATAATGATATATCTTGTTTCCCAGCCTTAGCCAACTTGTCTCTTTAGGCCCTGGGTCAGGAAATGACTTAAAGCAGGAGCTGAATCCAAAGCACCTGCTTAAGTCTCACTGAGTGCAACAAGAACTAAGCATGACTTTAAATCAGTGGTTCCCAACCTTTTTAAGTAGGAGATCACCTTTGGCACTTAAAAGCAACCCAAGATATACTATGTGCCACCAACATCCTCCCCTCCCTCACCCCAAGTAAGTCTGTGGGGAGGGAAGGGTGGGCAGACTGAGGCAGAGGGAGAAAAGATTATTTGGGGGTATGCTTCCCCAGCAGGTAAATCCCACCCAGCCGGGGCCCCACTCAACTTACCCCTGCTCCTGCCTCTGTGGCACTGTCCCTCACAGTGGGGTCCTCGATCTAGTCCTCACCCCTTCCCTCCCCCACAGACTGACATGCTGGACTGGAGCATGTGTGCCCCCACCCCAGCTTCGGATCATCTCCAAGAGGCTCCGGGATCCACCACAAGAGGCTCCAAGATCTACCAGTGGATCAAGATCCGCTGGTTGGTGACCACTGCTTTGAATGCTTTTCAGCCCTTCCATTATCAACTCCTTGAAAGGAGGAACTCTTCCCCAGCATCTCTATCCAGTGCCTAGCACGGAACAGCAAGGATCTGGGTTGCGGCCCCTAAATGCCACCATCGTGATAAGTAAACCCAGTACTCGCAGGCATGACATCAGCCAAGCCTCACCATGCCCTGGAAGTCAAGAAATGTTATCAGGCTTTTTCTTCTTCTTCTTCTTTTTTCTTACCCAAGGACCAGGGCTGGATTAACATGTTGGCAAACTAGGCACAGGGCCCTAAATAATCAGGTGTGTGTGGGGGGGGGGTTGTTGTTACCGAAGGACCAGGGCTGGATTAATGCATCGGCAAACTAGGCACACTCCTAGGGCCCTAGGTGAAGAAGCGGCCCAATTGTGCTTGTCTGACACAGTATAATGCGGGGGGAGTAATACAAATATAGAGGATGAAGTAGGGACCCACGAGTTTTGTTTGGCTCGGGCCCTGGAAAGGGTTAATCCGGCCCTGTCAAGGACCAAAACAAACCAAACCCCTCCCAGCCCAGGACCTTGGCAAGGGCTCGCCCCGCTTTGTGCCTTTCCAGCCCGCAGCCGGAGCGACAGGGACTCCTGCTCCGCGGGGATCGCAGCACCGGCCCCGTCCCGCGGCCGCCCTGCCCCGCTCGGCCTTTCACTCCGCGCCCGCGGGGCCGGGATGCTCCGCAGATCCCGCGCTCTAGCTCTGCCTCCCAGTGCGCGGCTCCCCCCGTGCCCGGGGCTGGACCAAGCGCGGGAGCAAAGTCCCCGGCAGGACTGGAGGGTGCCTCCGCGCGCCTTGCAGAGCTGGGACAGGGCAGGGCACCCCCGGCGGCTCCCCGGCCACCAGCGCGGGCCCCGGCCCCCCCC